GAATAAGCTCAAGGGCCTGAGTTCAATCCCTGGTTCTGCCAAAGAAAAAAAAAGGCAATTATAGGACTCTATATATGTGTATATCTCCTGCAACATTTACTTTTGTTTTCAAGTCTGCTATAGATACTGTATAAACCACTTGAATTGTGAATCTGGCATTTGTGAGCTTTATACCTCTCCACATTTCATTTCTTTGTCTTTAAAAGTCAGTAGATAGCATAGTATCAAATTTTTTATGGCATGTATATAACTTATGCCGTTGTTACTGTTGTATTCGTAGATTTCTTTAGACTACTGTTATATCAGATTTTAAATGTACAATACCTAAATGTAATGTATTATTTATATTACTTTGATTTTGGTTTGGTGACAAGATTTCACTGTATTTCAGGCTGACCATCTTGTTGCTTGAGCCTGACAAGTGGTAAGATTACTGAAGCACCATGCCCACTAGTTCTATTTTTGAACTAAAAGAATTGTTGACAGTGGACATGGTACAGGATTTCTTTTTTTTTTTCTTTGCGGAACCAGGGATTGAATTCAGGCCCTTGTTCTTGCCAGGGAAGCCCGCTTATGCTATTGAGCCATCTCCTCAGCCCTGGTGCAGGATTTTGTTTGGCAAATGATGTCTTAAGTTCACTACCCAAGTTTCAATTTTCTAATAAACATTTGATCTATATCTAGAATAGAATAAAAGGTGTTCTCTGTGTGTGTTCACAAAGAATCTTCTCCCCACAGAGCTTGATGCATTAGATATCAATGATGAATTGACTCCTCTGGGACGAATCCTGGCTAAACTTCCCATTGAGCCTCGTTTCGGAAAAATGATGATAATGGGATGTATTTTCTAGTAAGTACTTTTTAAATTTGTTTCATTGCTAATAGAAGTGGTTGAATAGCTTCATGATCTTAACCCTTCCCCATAAAATCAAGGTGGAATGAGATAGAAGAAAATACTACTTTTAGGTAAAATGTAGATAGATGATGAGAGAATTTATAAGAATAGAAAAATGGGCATTAGATACTTGGATTTTGATTTGGGAAAACAGATTTCTTAGAAGGGTACTTCTTGAGGGACTAATGTAGTTGTCTCCTGAAAGAGAATAGTATTAAAAGAAGGAATACATTTTACTAGAATGTTGTTTTTTTTTTTTTTTAATTTTTTTCGATTTATTTATTGTGTGTGTGTGTGTGTGTGTGTGTGTGTGTGTGTGTGTGTGTGGCCAGCTCAGCCCACCACGGGGCAGGGCTGGCTGGCATGTGGTGCTGGGGGATCAAACCGCGGTCCCTGTGCTTTGCCAAGCTTGTTCCAAGTAGGTGCTTTAGACCCCTGAGCCATCTTACCAGCCCTACCAGAATGTTTTTGAAGAGTAAAAAGTTTGGTATATGGATGAGAGAGCTGGTTATGGTGGTGCACTCATGTAATCCCAGCACTTCAGAGGCTGAGGCAAGAGAATCACTACAACTACGAGGCCAGTCTGGGCTACAGAGTGAATTCAGGGCCTGACAACTGCCCAATGAGAGCCTGTCTCAAAAAAATGAACAAGAGAAAATAGGGAAGAAAAAGATAGCCATTAATGTCAGAAGTCCTCAGTTTTTACTTTCTGATTTTGGAGAAAACAGCTGTAATGTTTTTTATTAAGTTATTTTCAGTGTTAAGAAAAGCATTATAGTCAGTGATCACTGACACACAGTGAACAATACGACCCAGTCTACTGGCAATAAAATTGTGTTATACTGTATACTATAATAATGTAACATGTGTTTCAGTGTGGGAGATGCTGTCTGTACCATTGCTGCTGCTACCTGCTTTCCAGAGCCTTTCATCAGTGAAGGGAAGCGGCTGGGCTATATCCATCGAAATTTTGCTGGAAACAGGTTTTCTGACCATGTGGCTCTTTTGTCAGTATTTCAAGCCTGGGATGATGCTAGGTATGGGCTTAAACTGAAGTTACTAGTCGAGTGAACAGTTTTTAAGTTAGTTTTTAATCTAAATCTAGTTCTCTGGTCTTTGAGAATGACTCCATTGTATTCCATTTCGTTCTAGAATGGGTGGAGAGGAAGCAGAGATACGTTTTTGTGAACACAAAAGACTCAATATGGCTACATTAAGAATGACTTGGGAGGCCAAAGTTCAGCTTAAAGAAATTCTGCTTAATTCTGGATTTCCAGAAGGTAAGACTTCATTCTCATTCTTAGCTCTATCTGTAGTAATATTTATGTAATACGTATATATGATGTTATATTTGAGATTCAGACATTTAGCGCTGTTCATTTTCTAAGCCAATGATGGCAAACCTTTGAATGTTCATTGGTAATAGCCTACTGTGGCATGCGTTCACTGCTATGCTATAGGTTCGCCACTGTAGCTTAGAATATGTTGATAGGGGTTTTTTTTACATTAATTCAGTCATTTGACAAAGGAAACAACAAGTTATGGTGAAAGCTTGAGAGATGTTTAGAATTGGAGTAAATTCTACCACATTTTTTTTTTTGGTACCAAGAGTTGAACTCAGGACCTTGCTGTGCTATATCCCTATCCTTAAATTTTAAATGGCTTGAATTTCAACTTTCAGAAGTGATCTCAGAGATTCCTAATTAATTATGATACATCAGCACTAATCTGGTTCTTTTCCCTTTCCCCTTTCTTTATTTGGGATGGATTCAGGGCCTTTGCACTGAGCTACATTCCCAGCCCTTTTCATTTTTTATTTTTGAGACCAAAGGTCTTGATGAATCACTAACTTGCCAAAATTGAGCTTGAATTTAGGAACCTCCTTGCTGACTCCCAGAGGGCAGGACTTACAGGCATGCTCCACCATAAATGACATTTAATTGTGCTGGAGTACTTTTCTTTTTCAGTGAGATTAAACATAAACTTCGTTGGGCATGGGAGATAGCTCAGCAGCATAAGCACCTGCCCAGTACGAGGTTCCTGAGTTCTGTTTCCAGTATCCAAAAAAATAAAATATCCTCGTTGATTCATAATCCTAGAATTCATAGCCAGAAATTCTATGATTCTGTGAACCAAAAAGTAGAGTATATTGTGAGACACATGGGAAGTATAGTAAGTTTTTTTAAAAAATATGATTTCAGTAAGCAGAATAGTTTTCATCTGTTGTAGTTTTCATCAGAATAGTTTTCATCCTTATTTCCTTAAAATCAAAGAAACGGAAAAGGACATTTTTATGTATTAGAATCTTTATAATTGTCATCTCAGAACTAATATAAAGACGTTAACTCATTTTGTAGATAATGAAGCCAGCACTAATATTTACTTTATTTATTTATTTATTTATTTATTTATTTATTTATTTATTATTTTTTGGTGGAATCAGGGATTGAACTCAGGCGCTTGCCAGGGAAGCACTTATTCCACTGAGCCATCTCCCCGGCCCCTATCACTAACATTTATTTTTTTATTTTTTATTTTTTTGCTCCTTGAATGCCTTCAGGGCACTTTTGCATGGCTGGAGTGTTGTGGGGATCGAACTACAGCAAACTGAGGCTGCCACCGTTGTGGAAGCAGCCACTTAAAGAACTGAGCTAGGGCTGGGCCGCAACACTAACATTTAAATTGCTTGTTCAGATTCATTTAGGACATGTAAAAATACAACCCAAGTTTGAGAACAAGACATACCTGTTTCCTCAGCATTATATATTGGGTTTTTGAGTCAGTGATGTAACAACAGTAGTCTGGTGAAATCACCCTAAGTTCCAGGAAGTCATTTATCACTGTCTTCTATAAGTGGTAGCTATTTAACAAGAGCAGATAAAATACACTTTGTAAAATGACCCAAGCTTGTGCTGTGATCAAGTCTACAAGAGAATATAGATGCTTTAAATTTATTACATAAATTTAGCAGCGGTTTTTTTCCTGAACTTATTCTTAGCTCTGAATAGGATCCTGAGGAAAAAAGTAGTACCACTCAGTTGTTTTAAAGCAGTGTTTGTGGAAGTAGTCATTTTTCCTAATGCTCAAATAGTTTGCACATGATGTAAAAATTACTGTTAACTTGATTCTTTGTTTCAATTTCTTCTTAACAGAGTGTTTGTTGACACAAGTGTTTACTAACACTGGACCAGATAATAATTTGGATGTTGTTATCTCTCTCCTGGCGTTTGGTGTGTACCCCAATGTATGCTACCATAAGGAAAAGAGAAAAATTCTTACCACTGAAGGGCGTAATGCACTTATCCACAAATCATCTGTTAATTGTCCATTTAGCAGCCAAGACATGAAATACCCTTCTCCCTTCTTTGTATTTGGCGAGAAGGTAAGAGATTAGAAGAGTTTGGAAAATTCAAATTGTCTTTTTGAACATGAGTTTTAGTGTTCACAGTATTTATTGTCATTAGATGACATTATTTGACAAAATGACAACTATTTTTCTCTTGCCTCTTTATCTTCAGATTCGAACCCGAGCCATCTCTGCTAAAGGCATGACCTTAGTTACTCCCTTGCAGTTGCTGCTCTTTGCCTCCAAGAAAGTCCAGTCTGATGGACAAATTGTCTTTGTAGATGACTGGTACGGATTTTCAGATTTGGACTTCAAACTGAATTCTTAGAACTGAATTGTGTTAGAACTTAGCTCTAACTTAATATGTGAAGTAAATAGGACAGTTGAATGACTAAAGTGGAAAATTCTTGGTAGTATAGTTGATTATAAACAAACTTAAGTTGATTTACAGTAAAATCTCACAATTGTGAGTTGTTTTGTGAGTGTTGCGCAAGATAAGCAGACATTTCTAATTCTGACTTTGTGAATGAGTGACACTTGAAATACAAGTAGCATGTTACACTGAATACCAACATTCCATAACTGAGCCAGTGATTATCTAACTCTATCCCCTCCTTCTCCCCCTTTATTCTCACTGATCTCCCCCCTCGTTCTCTGCCCACCCCCTTTCTCCCCCTTACAATGTAGTATCATACCTGCAAAATTTTCAGAGGCACATGCAAGTGGCATTGGATAGATTCCTCAAAGTTGCATGTAAATGTGCTTGCTTTGGCAGCACATAAACTAAAACTGGAACAATACAGAGAAGATTAGCATGACCCCTGCGCAAGACATGCAAATTCATGAAGTGTTCCGTATTAAAAAAGTTCCATGTAAAGGAAAAGAATCTATTGATAACAGTAGTTTTGTTAGTGATAGTTGTCCTACAAAGTAACCCTCCCGTCTTGTTTCCCCCATACCATCCAGAGAAGGTTTTAAAAGTAATTGTAGATTAGTTTTTATTATTTATTATAGTACAGTATTGTAATCATCTTTATGATAATTCTTCGGTGTGGAGGCAGTCATCTGTTTTCATCATTTCAAGCACATTTCTGGATCAAAGTTGGCTTGCAAAACAAGGTTTTACTGTACTGGCAAATTTATAAGTACCTCATATTTAAGCTGCTTTTATAAATACTGCCATCACCAAATTGGAGCTTGGGTAATAGTAATGACCATCTTACAGAGAAGGTGCAGTAAATAGTTTAGGGTATAGGTAATACAATCAGCATATTTTTTGGACCCCTTGAAAATTTTTTTTTGTGGAACCAGGGATTGAACTCAGGTCCTTGCGCTTGCCAGGGAAGTGTTTATTCCACTGAGCCATCTCTCCAGCCCCTAATATAACTTTTTATTTATTTATTTTGCAGTACTGGAGATTGAACTCACGACACTGCACTTGCCAGGCAGGCGTTTATTCTATAAGCTATCTCCCCAGCCCAAATGAGTTATCTCCCCATTCCTAAAATTCAAAACATTCTGAATGTGTCATTGGAGGCTTGAAAGATTTTATAGTTTACTGGCTATGGTGGCACATGTGTATAATCCCAGCACTTAGTAAGTTGAGACAAGAGGGTTGCCAAGAATTGGAAGATAGCTTCTGCTAGTTCAAATTCAGCCTTGACTGCATAGCAAGGCCTTGTCTCAAAAAAAAAAAAAAAGATTCTATAATAAGATTGCTACACCTAGCTAGTAGTGAATTCTAAAGTTAGTGCAGATTGTTATTTTTTATACCCATGTTTTCTGAGTCTGGAATCATTCAGTTGTAGTATTGGTACTTGTTAAACAATTAGGTGCTTGTTAAAAATGATTTCCCATGTGCGAAATTGAGAGATGAGTAATTTTTTAATTTTTCTTCATTTTAGGATCAGACTGCAAATATCTCATGATGCTGCTGCCTGTATCACTGCCCTCCGGGCAGCCATGGAAGCTCTGGTTGTTGAAGTTACCAAACAACCTAATATTATCAGCCAATTGGACCCTGTAAATGAACACATGCTGAACATGATCCGACAAATCTCTAGGCCCTCAGCAGCTGGTATAAGTCTTATGATTGGTGCTGCACGGTGAGTATAAGTTGTCTTTTAACCAAGCAAGGAACAGTTATAAATGGGACTGGAATTCCCAGAGCTGTTTAAAATCAAATTATGGAGAGTTAATAGGGCATTTATGATTGACTAATGCTCAAAATAGAAGTGTTTCTTAGGTTAATGTGGATGCAACAGCAGTTTTTGTTAATGACAGAGACCTTAAAAGTGCATATGTAATTGAGACTGGATCATAGAACAGGAAATGACAAAATACCATACTGTTTTGATGTCTCTAAGGAAAAAAGAATGTTGATAAGGCATAGCTGTTTTTCAGGTTTGGCTCAAAGTTAGGATTCTGGTGCCTTAGCCTGCCAGAAAGGGGTGGACCACCATGGGGAGTTCATTGTTGCTATCTTAACAAGCAAAAAAGTGTAAAATTTTTCTTAATTTTTAAAATGTTTCGTTTGCTTCAGATTTTATTTTTCCTCACCATTTGCCTACGGAAAAAGAATATTACAACCAGTGATCACACATGGTTTTCATTTTCAGCATTTTGTGACATATGCTTAATCATTTGTAAGGATGTAGATTTAATGATATGTTGCATGAGAATGGTGTATCTTAACGAGCATGGACACAATCCTGTCCCTCAGGTTTAACTGTTACAGTAATGCTGTTCACAAAAAATGTCTAATAAGGGGTCATTTCATTTGGTTGTGCACTATTAATAGAACTATTAGTATACATTTATTAAGAAAACTAGGCAGAAATTATTAAAGACCTCAGCTCATACTGCTAGCAGCTGATAGAGCCAGTCAGACCCAAGTAGTATGGCTCTAGAAGCGGTGCTTTTAGGTTCTGTGGTGCTCCTAATTTGGGCAGATCTATGGAAAGATTTTCGAAAAGAATCTTCACAAAGAGAATGAGCATCACAGCCATACTACAGAATAAGTGTCTTCAGTACAAATGAAGTACTCATGGATGTTTAGTGAAAAAGAGACTAATTTTGACAGGAATTGTGAACAAGGAGCCTTCTCATGTAATTACTCTTGTGAAAGAGTACAGTAACTAGATAAATAAGCTGAGATAAGGAACCTAGTATGTATTGATATGAGGCAACTCAAATTACACATGGGAGAAGTGAAATGTGGAGAAGTGGCTACATTAGCTTTTCAGTAAAATGAATAAGCATTAGTGATGGGTTAATATGGGGCACAAGCACAGCTGAATTTCTGATTTGGAAAGCTCCTTTATAGTGCCATTGTCTACAAAACCTCACCAGAGTAAAAAGCAGTTTGGGGGTGTATACTGAATTGGAACAGTAGTGGGACATCTTGATTTCTGCAGTTGTTAGTGCTCATTTTCATTATTTGTTGTATGAGACAAATTTAGGCAGCAAATACCACATTTAATTTAGTGTTAGTCTCAGTAACCTCTTGCTAATATATTAATATTTGATCTTAGAACACTGTCATTGAACTGAGTAAGCAAACTTTAATTGATACCTTTTTCTATTTTGGAATTGAAGATTTTTTCATTTCAGATCGTATATGTCCATTTTCTTCCTTTTTTTATGTATTATATGTTCAAATTGCCTTGTGGTCTTTTCTGATTTTACTGCTTTTTTTGTTGAATATTCAAATTGACTAAGTCTATACATTTGGATGAGTAGTTAAGTTGTATTAAGTGATTTACTGTCTTAACCATGTGTGAAGCTCTGGGTTCATTGCCTAAAACTGATAAAGAATACTAAGCTGGTGGGTTTTACTTTTCCTAGGTATGGAGATGGTCCACGTCCTCCCAAGATGGCTAGATACGATAATGGAAGTGGATATAGAAGAGGTTCTGGATATGGTGGTGGTGGCTACGGCACCGGAGGCTATGGTAGTGGCTATGGCGGTGGAGGCTATGGCACTGGGGGCTATGGTGGTGGGGGCTATGGAGGTGGCTCCAACTCCTACCGAAGAGGATATGGTGGAGGCTATAGAGGTTTCCGAGGGGGTTATAGGGGCAACTTTGGTGGAGACTATAGGGGATCTAGTGGAGACTACAGAGGACCTAGTGGGGGAGACTTCCGAGGCCCTAATGGAGGAGACTTCCGTGGGCCTAATGGGGGAGACTTCCGTGGGCCTAACGGGGGAGACTTCCGAGGACCTAATGGGGGAGACTTTAGAGGACCTGGTGGAGGAGACTTCAGGGGACCTGGTGGGGGAGACTACAGGGGACCTGGTGGGGGAGACTTTAGGGGACCTGGTGGGGGAGACTACAGGGGACCTGGTGGGGGAGACTACAGGGGACCTGGTGGGGGAGATTTCAGGGGACCTGGTGGGGGAGACTATAGAGGACCTGGTGGGGGAGATTTCAGAGGACCTGGTGGAGGCTACAGAGGGTCTGGGGGATTCCAGCGAGGAGGTGGCAGGGGAGGCTTTGGAGGAGGCTACTTTGGACAGGGCAGGGGAGGTGGTGGTTATTAAAACTTAGTTATGTCAATGCTTACGCATAGACTATTTAAAAAATATAAAATAAAGCATGCTATGTGTTTTCTCAAAAGGTTTATTTACTCCCCCAAAGTAAACTCATTTTCTTTTATTCTGTGGTTCATTGTAGTTTAAGGAAGCCAAGCATATAGTTACATTAGTGATTTTGTTCATATTATGTAAAATACAATGATTATTATAAAAGTACCAGTTTGTATTTTTTCGTTAAGGGGTAAGATTTGCTTTTTAAACTAACTTGATATTTTCTTGGCTTTTGTTTAATACCATAGAAAATAAAGTATTACTCTGAATACTGCCTGTGTGTGGTTGATTATTAGTCATAAATACATTAGGTTTTCACTGCTAATGCACTTAAACATTAGGAAAATTGTATTCTCTGTTTCAAGTAAAATATATCAGGTGATTTTAAATAGCATTGGCAGTGAGTCAATATTGGCCAAGTCAGATTGTTGAACCACACAGAACTTTTGACCCAGGGGTAATTGTTTTGGCTTCCTCTGTTTTGCCTGTGCCGGATTGCAGTGTGATCTCAAAATGCATTCATTATGTTCATGCTTTGTAAAAATCTTGTGACCGACATCAACATTATAGATAAGTTCCCAGTATAAAAAGTGAGGATAGTATAATCTATAGAACCCTTGAATAACAGTTACACTTAGAAAAAGAATGAAAGATGTGATACAGTGTAACCCTGGCCATCTCCAAACTCATAGCAACCCTGCTTCATCCTCTGTGCTAGGATTATAAGTACGTACCACATGCCTAACCAGTAGAAGATTCTAAACAGTTTTCATAGATTTCTATTAGAACAAAGTATATTACAGGTTGTAAGCATATTGCCTTAATCTGGGTTATATTAATTGTGGTATCTACCATAAACTTTCAGTGTCATAGTCAATGTTCTCAATCTTTTTTTTTCTTTACCTCTTTATTTAATGTGTGTGGTTTTGTAGTTTTTTGGGGTTTTTTTTGGCAGTGATGGGACTTCAACTGGCGCCTTGTACATGCCAGGCAAGCACTGTAGATTCTTCCCCAGTTAACCTTTTTTTTAAAGACTTACTTATTCCGTGATCCTCCTGCCTTAGCCTCCCCAGTGCTGGGATTACATGCATGCACTGCCATGCCTGGTCTTGGGGCCTGCTTGGCGTGTAGTACCAGGGATCAAACCTGGGTCTTTGCACTTGCCAGGTAAGTACTTGGGCCACTGAGCTATCTCTCTGACCCTTTTTTTGTATTTTTTGAGGCAGGGTCTCACAGTTGAGGCTGGTCTCAAACTTGCCGTGATCCTGCCTCAG